AGAAGAGGGAAGAAAAAAAAAAAAAAAAAAAAAAAAAAAACCAAGGGCTGGAGAGTGGCTCGGCTGTTAAGAGTGGGTGCTATACAACTATACAATCTTAAAGAACAGAGTGCAGATCCCAGCATACACATAACAAGCAGGGCATCCCACAAATGACTGTAACTCCAACCTCAGGGACCCAGTGCCTTCTCCTAGCCTCCGCACTCACACAGGCACAACCCCAGACACATAGACACATAAATTCTTGGTTTTTTTTTTTTTTAAGACAGGGTCTCTGGCTCTCCTGGAATTCTATGCTGACAAAGACTGCTAACCTCAAATTCTGAGATCCACTTGCCTGTGTCCCAGATTTAGGATTAAAGACCTGCACCACTATGCCTAGCTTAAAATTTCCTGAAATTAGCCAGGTGTGGTGGTGCATGCCTTTTATGGGGGGGGGGGGCAAATCTCTGTGAGTTCAAGGCTAGGCCAGCCTGATCTAGAAGGCAAACCAAGTTCTAGGATACCCAAGGCTACACAAAGAAACCCCACCACAAAAATAAATAAATAAATAAATAAATAAGAGCTGTTTGTTTTATTTTTGTTTTCAAGACAGGGTTTCTCTGTGTAACAGTCCTAGCTATCCTGGAACTCACTTTGTAGACTGGCTGGCCTCAAACTCAGAGATCCACCTGCCTCTGCCTCCCAAGTGATGGAATTAAAGGCAGTGATGGAATTAAAGGCGTGTGCCACCACCGCACAGCCAAAAACAATCTTAAAAAAAAATCTTTAAATTAAAAAGTGGAAAAGATAAAATGAGAAGATGGCTGGACACTGCATATAGTCTCATTACTCAAAAGACCAAAGGAGGAGAGAAGTACAGAGCTCAAGAGCAGCCTGGCCAAATAACAACTTCCACGACAACCTGAGTTGCACAGTGATACCCTGTCTTTTGAAGAAGACAATGGGGGCTGGAGAGATGGCACAACGGTTGGCACCTGTTCTTTCAGAAGACCCAAGTTCAATTCCCAGCTCACAACCATTCACAACTTCAGTTTCAGGGAGTCCAATGCCTTCTAGCCTCCAGGACATTGCAGGCATCTGGTTCACAGACATACATGCACACAAAACACACACAAAAAAAAATAGTAAAATAAAAAAACTTTCAAAGGAAAGCATAGCAAGATGTGTGCCTGGCACCTGTGGTGTTCAGAAGAAAGCATGAGATCTTCTGGAACTAGAGTTACAAGTGGTTATGGGCTACCACGTGGGAATCAAATCCTGGTTTTCTGTTAGAGCAACAGTGCTCTACCCAGAGAGCCATCTCAACAGCCCCCTGGCCTTATTTCTCCTATGGATATTGTCTGGAAGGGAGAAACATTACAGGGAAGTAAATGCAGCATGCATCTTTTTACTGATTTATTTGATACTTATTTATATTTTTTTTTTTTAATTGAGCCAGGTCTTTATATGTTAGCTGGAGCTAGTCTGTAACTCTGATCTCCTGCCTGCCATGTGTTGGGTTGGCTGGGAATGTGTTACTATACCTGTCCAGAGGGAGGGTCTTACACTGTAGCCAGCAATATGGCTCACTGGGTAAAAGTGCTTGCAACCAAGCCTGACGGCCTAAATTCAATCTCCAGGACCCAAATGGAGGAAAAAAGAACAACTCCCACAAGTTTTTCTCTGACCTACACATCACCAGTCACCAGCACACACACACACACACACACACACACACACACACACACACTACAGTAATTTTAAAAAGAAAAAATGACAATTATATCTATAAAAGAACAAACAGTATGTGAAATTTATAATTTGCCTGAAGAACGTATATACTAAGCAATAGCTTTCACTATCTGTACAGAGCAAAGTAAAAAGAACCAGTCTAATATCAATACCCAAATGAGTCAATAGAGGGCGCCCTTACCCTAAAGAAGCTGCTAATTCTTGGCCTGTAATTCCCTAGAGGATCTCATTGCGTTTAAGGCCAACTGGGCTACATAAGTGTATTCCAAGCCAACCAGGACTACAATGTAAGACCCTGCCTCTGGACAGGAATAGTAACACATTCCCAGTCAACCCAGCACATGGCAGGCAGGAGATCAGAGTTAGAGACTAGCTTGGACTAACATATAAAGGCCTATCTCAATAGAGATAGATAGATAGATAGATAGATAGATAGATAGATAGATAGATAGATAGATAGATATTAGGCAGGTAAATAAATAAATAAATAAATAAGCAAGTGAAAAGGTGCATGCTGCATATTCGCTGTAATGTTTCTCCCTTTCAGACAATATCCACAGAAGAAATAAGGCCAGGGGGCTGTTGAGATGGCTCTCTGGGCAGAGTACTGTTGCTCTAACAGAAAACCAGGATTTGATTCCCACATGGCAGCCCATAACCACTTGTAACTCTAGTTCCAGAAGATCTCATGCTCTCTTCTGAACACCACAGGTACCAGGCACACATTTGATACACTCGTACAGGCATAACACTTATACATGCAGATGCAGAAACACACACACATAAAAATAAATCTAAAACTATTTTTAAGAAAAAAAGATGAGTAAGAATTTAAGCTGCAATCCGGCTGATAGTGTTTAACATGCATGACACTGTCCCCAGCAACACATAAACCTGGTATGGTGGTACACTCCTGGAATTCCCGCACTTGAGGCAGAAGCAGGATCATGTGTGTCAGGTCATACTCTGGGCTACATGACAAATTTGGGGCCAGGTTGAGTGCTCCCCTAGGCTTCCACTGAGTTTTCACAGAGGGGCTCACTCTGAACCCAGCCAAGTAAGGTGGGGTTCTGCAAGTGCTAAAGCCACTAACCCCACAAACCAAGACTTTTCTTGTTTACTCTGGCATCCAAAAGTCTGAGCACATGGCAAAGACTCCACAATACATAAATGTAATTAAAACTCAAGCCTGGCCTCTTAAGTGACTAAAGTAGTAACAGACTGCCTGGGTCTCATTTTCCCATCATCAGCAGCTCGAGAATGTAATGTTTAAGGTGTAGGGTCACAATGAAGACTGCAAATCTACCAGAGATACCAACAAATAATGCAATTTATGTCCTCACTATTCCAAGGCAATCCAACGAAGTTAAAAGTAAATTTCTGCTCCCACAGCCAGGCCAAGAAGGATCTCTGCCCAATGCTCCAAGGAAAGTTCAGGAATAACAAATCTGAGGTTGTTTTGGGGGTTTTTGTTTTTGCATTTGTTTGTTTTTCAGACAGGGTCTCACTACGTAGCCCTGGCCTTGATTTACTCACCATGTAAATCAAGTCGGCCTTGAGGTCACAGTAATCAGCCTGCCTCTGTCTCCTCAGTGCTGAGATTAAAGGTTGTACCACCATGACCAGCCTCGGAGCTGGGATTGGTGGAAGCACGACAGGATGAAGGGGGGTGGGGCTGGCAGAAAGCAGGGCCTGCTCACCGCTTGGCGATCTCCTGGTAGCGCAGCTGCAGCTTCGCCTGCAGGTCATGCTGTGGGGGGAGGAGGACAGGAGAGGTCAGACCGGTGGGGACCCCAGGACTGGGTTGGTGCACAGGGGTGGCCAGTGGATACGGACACAGATCCCGCAGAGGAAGAAGGCAGCTGGGCGGCCAGTGGCTTACAGAACTTTACTGCTACGTCTTCCGCCTTTCCAGGGCTCGAACGTTAAAAAGCCTCCCCCTTCCTTTCTCCTGCCCCTTTATCTCCCTGGGATGTGGATGAACACACTGGGCATGCTTGCCCTAACATGGAAACGCTCGCTTGCCCCGAACACGCCAGCAGGTGCTTGCTGACCTCCCTTCTTGAACCCTGACTTGCCCATCTCCAGGCTCGCCTCTCTCCCCGACCTTTTCGTTTCCTTCCGAAACCTAAAACCCCGTCCTCGGCTTCCCTAAATAGGAGGAAGGTGCGGCCACAGGATCCAAAGCTAAGATGCGGGGACGAGGAGACGCCGGACCCGGAGGGCAGGGCGGGCAGGAGGCGGCTAAAGCCTGGTGATCCGCAGCCCAGCTACGGGGACAAGGCAATCAATCCCAGGAGAAGCCGGCCTCGAGTCCCGGGCTAGTGGCGCCACAACCGAGGGACCCTGCACTTCCCCACTGATCTACGGAGACTTCGTGAAGCGGGAGAGGATTGGGGGAACACGCACCCCAGACGCCCAGTTGCGCAGCCTCTGGATGGCGCGCGTAGCAGACGCCATTTCTCTTCCGCTCCGAAGGACGCCGGTGACGGCTCTGCCCCCGGGACTGCTGGGTAGCGAGTGCGGTCTCGCGAGAGCAGGGAGTAGGGGGAGGCGGGGTCAAGAGCGCGTTATAAAAGCGCTCGCCTGCTCACGTGACCCCTCTCCGCCAGATCGCCGCCATCATGGACACGAGTCGCGTGCAGCCCATCAAGCTGGCTAGGGTGAGGTGACGGCGGGTGTTGGGAAGGCGGGATGAGAGAGAGAGAGACCGGAAAGCTGGGCCTGTCGGGCGGGTCTAACTGTTGTTCTTTCCTGCAGGTAACCAAGGTGCTGGGCAGGACCGGTTCGCAGGGGCAGTGCACGCAGGTGAGCGGAAGGGGGGAACACCCGGGCCGGCGGCTTGCCGGGGTCTGGGCCCTGCGGAATACTCGGCTTCTTGCTGGGTTTGGAGGCCTCTAGTCCTGACTGCTAGGCTCCCTGCTGCTAGGACGTGGTGGCTGTTCGGGTAAAGCGCGGCGGGATGACCGAGGCGGGGGACAAACACGCCAGGCAGACGCAGCCTAGTGAGGAGTTTTATTAGAAAGGGAAGGGAGGGGGAGGAAAGAGACAGACGACAAGAGGAGAAGAGGGGGACGAGAAAAGTCCTGTCTGCCTTTTAAAGGGATCCTTTGCCCCTGCGTGCAAACCCTGGGCTGACCAGGGTACCGCCTGATGAGTGCATTCTGCCGGGTGACAGGGGCGGGCACCCTCGGTATCTTAGTGCTACTGTCTTTGAAGTTTTATTTTTAAAAAGGTGGGGTGGGCTGGAGCTATATCTCCGTAGTAGACTTAAGCAAGCACCGAACTCAAAAGACTGAAGTTTCACGAGTCTAACGTAGGAAGATCCCTGGGCGTTCCAGAATGAGTGAGATCTGGTTCCGAAAAAAAAAAAAAAATTGGGGCACGGTCGGGAGAGCGCTTGGCAGGCAGGCATGCAGGCAGGGGTTGGGTCCCCTACACCACATAAACCAAGAATGGTGGGGTGTGTCTTCTATATCACTAGGAGGCCAGCCTGGGTTGATGATGCCCTGACTGCTGGGGGGGGGTTGATCTGGTTTATACCCATGTCTCCCATCATAGCTTACTGAAGAGACTGACTTAGCTGGATTCCCTGTTTCTGGGCCAGCCTAGCATAGTAAGTGGGAGGCTCAAAGGTATAATCCTAAACACTGGAGGTGGGAAAGGGATGTGTTGAGACCCTGACTGAGAGACCAAAAATTAGGCATGCTATTGCACACTTGTGATCTTAGCAATTGGTGTAGAGGCAGGCATTCAAGGCCAATCTGAGAAGAGACCTTTAGAGAAGAAAAAGACACATACACCTCTTTGGTGTCCTAGGGTCACTTTTACCCAGGATCACAGCAATCTGGATGTGCAGCTTAAGTTCTGAAGTAAGCCCTTTAATTGTCCCGGGTTCCATTTTATGTGTACTACTTGATAGGGTCCAGAAATTAGAAGAGGGGGTCAAGATTCCCCTTGAAACTGGAGTTATAGGCTGTTAACCAGCTGTGTGGGTACTGAGAAATGAAGCCAGGTCCTCTGAAGGAGCCTCATGTTCATAAAACAGCTGAACCAACTCACTTGCCCCAAACAGATATCTCTACGTGATCTCTAGGTCTGTGTCACCTTTCCACCCCACTAGCAAGTAGCAGCAACTAACTCTTCTAATGGGTCGATAGGTGCGCGTGGAATTTATGGATGATACCAGCCGCTCTATCATTCGAAACGTCAAAGGCCCCGTTCGGGAGGGTGATGTGCTCACCCTGTTGGAGTCAGAAAGAGAGGCTCGGAGATTACGCTGACCTTGCTGCTGGTGGGTACCTGGCACCCCATGGGAAGGACTGCCCCTACCAGAGGGGAAGCAAACTTTGGGGGGGGGGGCATGAGGAAAGGTTCTCTAATGTTTGCCTCTGTTTACAGGGTCCTGGATATCCACCACTTGGCCCATGATGACCTGCAGATATTGAATAAAGCATTTGTATTGTTGTAACTCTTGTCTGGTTGGGTTTTTTTTCCCCCCCTCTGGTATCCAAGGCTGGTCTAGAACTTGGAGTCCTTCTGGATAGAGTTTCTCTGGGCAGTGTCTTTGCTCCAGTGATCAATTACTCTTTGTATGCTGTCCTTCCACAGATGTATCTTGATAAGGTGTGTGTCCTACCACTGCCACCCACAAGATACAAGTTCAGTAGAAATGCTTTATTAGGAAAGATTGTGAATGGGTTGAGTGCATTGCTCAGGCATTTGCACACGGCGCCCTGCTGTGATTTGGGAGCTCAGACATTAGAGGAAAGCAGCTTCTAAGTCCAGGTAGAGTCCCTCATTTGTCACTGCATGGCTTAGCTGGGTGTGCCTGTGGAAGACCCTGGGGGTGACTGGCCCTAGAACAAAGAAGGATTCTGTAGACAGAAGGTAGGCTTTTAACAGGACACATCCCATTCCTGTCGAGCCAGGCTGCCTGGATGGAATCCGCTCAAGACCTCTCAAACTCACAGAGAGGTCAGTCTTCCCAAGTGCTGGGATTAAAGGCATGCACGCCAACACCACTCACCCCCAAGCTTCCATTCCCACTTTACATTTGGGTGAGTGGGGCCAGTTGGATGAATTAGTCACAGAAATGCTAAGAATAAACCTAGCACTTGCTGTTCAATGCTCTACCTATACGGTGTGTTCTTCCTGACAGGGCAAACTTTCACTAAGCTTCCAGGCTTAGAGCTCCTCTCCCTACAGCAAAAGGCTCTTTTTTCCTTTACAAGGAAAACCCTCCCCAAACAGGATGATCCTAACCTAAAGTTGCAATTACCTCTGGTTTTGCTAGTTAGGCATCAAATAGTAGCTTTACAGTAGAATTCAGGCAGAGGTTCTCTATCTTGTTCAGGAAAGGAGGCTTCTGAAGGTCGTTGGCATGTGTCTGTTTCTTAGAGACTACACTTACCTGGGAGCCATGGTGGTCTGAAGTCAGGTGGGCATGGAGCAGTGCCGCAACCTCATCCTGTTGAGCCTCCAGCGCAATGGCCAGGGCACTTGTTCCCTCCTGAGAAATAATAGGATGTTAGGTCCCTGGGGTACAGTGAAACACAATGCTATTACTCAGGCCATTAGTAGTGGCTCACATTGTCTAGGATGGTAAGGTCACAGCCTGGCTGGGCCAACAGCAACTGAACTGTATCAAGGCGTCCATATTCGCTGGCACACATCAGTGCTGTAGCCCCATCTGCATCCTGTACATTGACATCAGCCCCACGTTCCAGCAAGGCAGCCACCATGTCCTGATGGCCATGACTGATGGCCAGCATGAGGGCTGTCTGTCCAGTCTGAAAAATGAAAAGGAAAAGAGGTTCGAGGCTTTGAAAATAGAAAGTGACACTGCCTTACCTACCCATTGTGAGTGGGAGTGTTCTATGCACCTGGCTAGCCTTGGCATTGACATCACCCATGCTGAAAAGTCTCTTGACCACAGCCATGTCTTCCTCCTCCTGCCCTACAGAAGTGAGTGCAGCCAACATGAGTGCAGAATAGCCGGCTCTATTCTGATGATTGACATCACAGACCCCTGGGAAGAAGAAAGAGGTCTGTCACTTCAAGCCTCAAATGCTGGGGAGGGGAGCAATGTCTCCTGCATCACAGATGGTGGGTAAGCATCTGTTGTCAGCCAACTTTTTTCGGGGGGGTGGGTGGAGACAGGGTTTCTTTGTATAGCTTTCCAGGCTGGCCTCAAACTCAAAGAACTCAAAGCCATACATCTGCCTCTGCCTCCTGAGTGCTGGGATTAAAGGCGTGTGCCAACTTTTGAGTCAGCAACTCATAGCCTAGGCTGATCACAGACAAGAATGGACCATGACTTTCTAGTCATGTTTCCATCTCCCCAGCACTGAGACTGCTGGGCAAAAACTCCACCAGCTAAGCTACACCTGAGTCCCTCAGCCAACTGCGTGCATGAGCACACAATGTGTGATTAGCAGCCAATAAGGCCCTGTCTGTCTCAACCACCCACAGCCCCAGAGATAGACACAAGCCGCTTAAATAGGTAAGCCTTTACTCTTCCAATGCAGGTTTTTCCTGTGTCTCTGTCTCTCGTTTTTATTTGCTAATTGTCTCTGCTCAGGTGCATTCAATAGCTATTCACTCACAAATGCTTTATAAGAGTAAGGACACCGCTGGGCGTTAGTGGCACACACCTTTAATCCCAGCACTCAGGAGGCAGAGGCAGTCAAATCTCTGAGTTCGAGGCCAGCCTGGTCTATAGAGCAAGTTCCAGGACAGCCTCCAAAGCAATACAGAGAAACCCTGTCTCAAAAAACTGGGAAAAAAAAGTTTTGTTGTTGTTTTTTTAATTTACTGGCCAGGTGGTGACACACAACTTTCTTTCTAAGCACTCACGAGACAGAGGCTGGCAGGGTCAGTTTGAGGCCAGCCTGATCTACAGAGTGAGTGCCAGGATAGCCACTACACAGAGAAACCCTGTCTCAAAAAACTGGGAAAAAAAAGTTTTGTTGTTGTTTTTTTAATTTACTGGCCAGGTGGTGACACACAACTTTCTTTCTAAGCACTCACGAGACAGAGGCTGGCAGGTTCAGTTTGAGGCCAGCCTGGTCTACAGAGCAAGTTACAGAATAGTCAGAGCTATACAGTGAGACTATCTCAAAACAAGATTTATTTATTTATTTTTTTTTTTTTTTTTTTTTTTTTTTTTTTTTTTTTTTTGCTGGGCGTCATGCTGATGTGAAGGTGAAATGTTACTGGCAACTGAGCAAGCAGAAGAGTTAGTATATCCAGGTGTGTGTATTTGCTTCAGTAGGGGTATGATGAACAAGCAGGAGGTAGGTAGGTAAACAATACAACCAACTATTTGGTGGTAGTCAGGAAACTAAGCAGTAACCCCCCTTGAGGATAGACAGTTGAACCCAAGAACTCAGAAACAGACTGGCATGGTGACACATGCCTTTAATTCCAGCAGAAACGGGTGGATCTTTTGTGAGTTCAAGACCAGCCAGAGCTACATAAACCCTGTCTCAAAAAAAAAAAAAAAAAAAAAAAAAAAAATGCCAGGCCTGGAGAATGAGGTATGCCCAGGGGGGTCTCTGTTATGGTGGGAGGTCAAGGGAGTTGGCTAAGGACAGCTGAAGATACCATGAGGTTAAAAGGGCTTTGCACCCCTGGGACACAGGTAAGAAAGTCAAATTTGAGGCCAGGCAAGAGCTATATAGCAAGGCCTTGTGTCTGGGCGCTCAGCAGGGTTAGAGCACTAACTACCAGCTTGAGGACCCGGATCCCCAGCACACTGGTAAAGTTGAGCACTATGACATGTCTGTAACCCCCAAGGCTGGGGAGATGGAAACAAGTGGGGCTTGCTGGCCAAACAGCTCCAGGTTCAATGGGAAGTTGTTTCAGAAAATAACGTAGACCGTCATAGTGGAACATATCCAGTGTTGATTTCTGGCCAAATGAACAGCAATCCACCCACCTTCTCCCACTCAACATTTTTCTGTGCCCCTCAACGACCCCAGCCTTCGCCCACCCTGGCCCTCTTCTCCACAATCCAATTCCCTGACCTGTATCCAGTAGTAGGCTGGAAATGGCCAGATTCCCATGAGACACGCTGTAATGCAGGGCCGTGTTTCCATTGCCATCAGCCAGGTTCACCACATGAGCCAGCAGCTCAGGCCCCAGGCTCTTCACTCCTCGAAGCACCCCTGCCACAGGCTCAGCCTGAGAGCGCTTTTGACTGGACACTCGAAACCACTCCTGGGCTACAAGGCGTGCTGCGCTCTGGCAGGACAGGGGCAAAGAAGGCATCAATGCTGATAAAAAATGGGAGGGGCCAGAAATGTGTGTGTGTGTGTGTGTGTGTGTGTGTGTGTGTGTGTGTGTGTGTGTGTGTAAGACTCCTCTGGTGATCCTGGCAAGCAAGCAAAGCCAATGCTTTCTAAGTAGAGACAGCTTGCACCACACCCTCTTCAAGAATGAAGTACAACCAATGAGGTCCATAGGCTCAATGAATAAGACTACATCATGGGGAAATAAAGGACAGAGTGAGTGTAGCAGTGCCCACTTTCTCTTCAAGTTTCGTGGAATGGGTCTGTGGCTCTAGTCTTTACTTGGGGCTGTGGGTGGGCAGTCCAAGAAAAGGTCAGAACTGTCCTAGTATCTCTTTGGAGAGCTTAGGATCAAGGAAGGTCTCTAGTGAGGGGATACCAAACTTGGTACTTGTGCTCTAGGAAACCCTGCACTCTTCACTCTTAAAGAGGATGTCAGAGAGGAGAGGTAGGGCCCATACTCACGCCATCTCTGGTGACTCCACGAGGCCTGATCAGCTGCCGATTCAGAGCAATGCAGGCTTCCCTTAAACGAGGGCTCAGTTCACACCTGCCAGGGAGGTCAGTCTAGACTCAGGATCCTGAGCAACGGTGCCCAGGAGAGGGTATCTGCATTGCAGACCTTTGGAGGACGCTCACCTCTCTTCTGTCCCTGCCTTCGGCTCCAGCTGTGCCTCAAGTTCAGACTCCTCCACATCGTGGACGTTAGGGGGCCCAGGAGTTCCAGCTTCAGATCCCCCACTATCATCTCCTGACCCAGAAGAGCTACTCCTGGCGAGTTCGGTGGCACCATCTTCATTGTCACTGTCGCTGGCATCCTCGCTGGAGGAGCTCTCATACCTGGGAATAGGATGGGAGGCATCTGGTGAGCCTCCCCTGAGGGCTCATTCGAGAGGGCTGTGAAGTGGGAGTGGCATTTTAAAGATGAAGAAATCGAGGACTGTCAAAGCCAGACCATGAGCAGAGGGACAGAACTGGAAGTAATAGCCTGTGTCCCTGAAGCTGCTATCGTGGGAAAGGGGGAGAAAGCGCTCACTCTCCGTTGAGGACCCCAACGAACTGCAGGCTCTTGGGTCCCTGACTGGATTGGGCACCCGGAGTACCGTCTTTTTTCTTCATGATGGATTTGAGGATGCCTGGCAGGGAATCACATAAGGGCACTGAGTCTGACTGACTTCAGCAACCTGGCAGGCCAGGGTTCAACCAGGAGTGGAAACTCACCAGCAGGGGCCACCTGGTCTCCAGCCATGGGCCTGGGCTGGTTCTCCACTGGGAGCTCGGTCTGCGTGGTCTTCTCAGTGCAACCCAACTCTGTCTGGATGGCCACCTCTCGAGATTGAGGCCTGGCCACTGCAGCCTCGTAGGCCTCCTCCAGCTCCCTCAATCGGCCCCGCAAGAGTTCGCTCACCCCGCGCTGGTGCTCCAAGCTGGCGTGCAGCATCTCCAGCTCACGCTCTGCAGCCTCGGGCAGCCCCAGCAGCGCCTCGTTCACCCACGTGTCCACCTCAACAGTGTCAGGGACCACCTCCACTCCAGCCTCCCCTGTCTCGGGTACTGCCTGGGCATCCGCCTCTCGGGTCTCGGGCACGACTTCGGTGCC